TGTGTGTGTGTGTGTGTGTGTGTATGTGTGTGTGTATGTGTGTGTGTGTGTATGTGTGTATGTGTGTGTGTGTGTGTTGTTGTTTTTTTTATCCATGTATTGTGACTGAAAAATGACTGCTCTGTCTGATTGTTGTGACCGTGAGAAAAGCGAAACCCTTTTTGGTTGCAATATAAACGTATACTGCTGAGAGTCTGTCCTTGTGCCAAGCTACTGTAATCACACTAGATATGGTGATGAGATGGTGATCTACATCATGGGGCATATAAGATTTATGTGACATTGCCTCCATGAGCAGCTTAAGGTAGAACTTTGAATAAAAGTTAAACTGCTTGCCCATGTTTGTGTACTTCAGACTCCAGTGATTCACGCGTTTGGCGTCGTCTTGCAGGATGAAAAGCTGTGGCCTCTTCCACAAAAGTAGGTCTAAGTTTTGACTTTTCTTGCGTATGTAATTCTTCCAATACTATCGGAGCTCGTCACATCGAGAAGCGACGCATTGCTGAAGTAACATTAAGCACAGATTCAAAAGCTGAGAACCTACTAGTACTCGATCGACATCAGAAATAACATAATATTTATGCATTATTCTCCCGTCTTATTGCTGTTCCCATGTCGCACATTCTGTACATCAATATTTTTTTCTAGCCCAAAATAAGAAAACCAAGGAAGCTCTATCGACACACTGCACTTTTTGGCCAAGGTGCGATAAACATTTATTTTAATACGATTATTAACAATTAATGTGTGTACATAAAATTTTATTTTTAAGATACTGTTAGTCTGTTGTATTCAAAGTGTACAAAGCGTTTTTTTAAACGGTATGTCTCTTTTTGGCTATGCAGACGGTTGAGTTAGCTGAAGATGGTATCAATGTTGTCTTCATGCAGCTTCCTTTATGGCTTATTCTTCATATAATATTATTTGAAGCGCAGATTCTCTCGCAGTGCTTTCGTGTCAGTGAGGTGGATCGAAGCTCCGTAATTTCCGCTGTTTTCCTTTCGTCGTTGGCGCTTTCAGCCTGGTTGTTTCTGAGGCTGCTCTCTAGCACAACAGTTCGTTACTTTATCATTTTTCTCCATGTTTTCCTATCCTCAGCTATTTCTTTCAAGATGCTGACATCTACTCCAAACTTATATAATTAAGCTGTATACGATTTAATAAGTATTATACCTGTTTACAAAAAAAGATAAGTGAAGCTCGTGGTTTTGCCTAAAATTATCAGCTTATCTTTAGGACGATAAGACTGAAGGCGAGAGGGGTGCTGAGAATAAAGGCATGTGTTCCGCATTGTTGCGTTACAAAGCGATTTTCTGTGGAACTTGTAAAAAGAAGACAAATTATCTGTACTTTAATTTTTTTTACATAATTTTTGTAACCTAGTTTCATGGAACGTTACTTGTAAAAAGAAGACACACTATCTGTACTTTATAAAATTAATATTTTTTGTTATCTGGTATAAGGTTTACATTGTCTCCTCATGCCTTATTTTCAGGTTTGACCCAGGACGATTTAGTGCCGAACATAGCAAGAGTCAACGGACGTATGCATTTTCTCCGTTTGGATTTGCTGGCAAGAGAATTTGCCCGGCCTATAAATTCGCCTACAATGAAAGCACCGTTCTGATAGCCACTCTTATTAGGAAGTAAGAAGATTACGGTAACAGAAGTTGACCTTTATCAAGTTTGAAACCGAATTATGTTCCTTGGTATTTTTTTAGTTTGTTCTTTTCCTCTTGTTGGTTCTACCTGTCTTATTTAAAATCTCAAGTGAGTTTTAAGTGGTTTTGGTTTTCGCACGTTTATAGACTTTTCTCAGATTATGTATAAATGTATATATGTACATATTATATATA